GGGGTGGGTGGGCAATCACTCGGTCACACGCACTGGGGGGTGGAGGTGATTGCCAAAAGCATTGATTATGAAAAGGTCAGAGCCATCTGGTGCTTCTTTTAGAAGAATAAGAAAGGCAGAAGAGGAGAAGCCAGATAAAGATACATTTATGTCAAAGGTTCAGTTGATAATGAGATTTATTATAATATTATTGAATTGTAACTTGAACTGAATTGTCAAATACACCACATTTCTTCACTTACTGTACCTTGTAGCTTTAAGCCACATGCTGGAGATTCTCTCTTACCTCCTACAACCGTCTTACATTATTCCTGAAATGCAAACACAGCCATGTAGCACTTACATTGACATTCTTGTCAGAGCTGTTTGCTTACATTGTATTTTGAATCACTTGTAAGTGGCTTTGGATGAAAGTGTGTGCCAAATGAATGAACGTAAATGTAAAGTAAATAATGAGATTGCAGTTCAGAGCAGTAGTAAGTGGAGGCGCTGTGTGGTAGACTGCCAGCAACTGGTAACAGCCACTAAAAGAATGCATTAGTTTTAATTCCAGTCTTTCTGGGGTTGGCCTACAGAAGTGTAGTCATGGGGGTGTGGTGATATAGCATGGTTTTTCATGCTCAAAAGTACCTTATTAAACACAATCAACTTTTAAGTGCCATTGCAGTTACAGTCATATGCCTCAGTCCTACAAAGAACACACTTCTGCACTTTTTAATGCACACTATCTGTTTGTTTGCTAAATTTACCACATTGAATAATAATAATAATAATAATAATAATAATAATAATAATAATAAAGAAAAGTGGCCTGTGCATTATTTTTCCAAAATACTCAGCAGATGAATAGAAGTTGTGCATTAAACATTTCAGGCAATGCCATATTTAAATTTATTCCATGAAGAAGATTTTTTAATTTACTTTCACTTTGAAAATAAAATTAAACATGTAATTTGACAGAGTTTTCCAATTTTTGCACATACCTGTACACTGACAAAACTGTCACTTGGGCAGTGCCCCTCTTGTCACTGAGGTGGTACCCTCAAGGGTACATTTCAGTACCTTAAGTCAGGGAACATAACTGTACCATAATCCACTAAAATGATGTTTTCTAAGTTGTATTGATTCCACACACCCCGTCTCGTCTCCAGGCTTTTATTTTACTGTTCTGTTTTAAAGCATTCGGTTATGAAAAGGTATAAATATGTACTTTTTTACCTTATTTAAGGTAAAGAATTGGACCTTAAAACCAGTGTTGTACCTTTGAGGGAGCATTTACATTGTTTTTACCTTGATGAATGAAATATGTACCCATGCAGTATCTTTATTTCTAACAGTGTATTTCGCTGATGTCCGCACAAAACCTTGTATCTCCAAAATGGTAACTTTACAGGAGAAGACATAGTTTACTTCTAATGTAAGTCAATGGAACCAGACATTTTTCCAAGGCATTTTGGGCCATTTCGTTTGGTCCATTCATTATGGAATTTACATACAATATAAAGGACAACAGGCACTTTGAAATTATATCAAAACCTGGAAAAAACGATAAAAATGGAGATTTAAGGTTTTGTTCTGACAGCAGCGATATGCTATAATAAAATCACAGGATAATTTTCATTCCATACTTTTAATGCATACTTACATTTGGTAGTACAATAGAATGTTATTATTTGTTTATTTATTTATTGAATTAAAAAAAAAAACACACGTCACAATCATTTTATCATTGTATTTGAAAATTCAGTAGTGCAGGTTCAAATCTATTAATACTGAATATTAACTGAATGTAGTAATACATCATGAAACTAACTGTGCAATGATATATGTAACTACACACTGCATTGTAGTAGTACAGCAAAATGAAACCTGATTCATCTCCTGTACTGCTTAAACCCATAGGATCCAAAAAGTCCCTATGCTGATAAATGTTAGATGTACAAAGTAGATCCACTGCAGCTCTGTAAGTTACTCAGTACTGGAGGAGCTTTTGTTTCCCACTTTTTCTCCCAATTTAGCCATTGTTAGTTCTAGATATTAGGTACGTCTCCTCCTATCACACAATGCTGCCAAGCTGGGAGGGTGAAGGCTTGGACATGCTCCCTCAGACAGCTCACTGCACCACATAAGGTATAGCTTCTAGGAATTGGTATAGAACCTTTACATTTTGTAAAGTTCTTTAAACTTTTAAAAGGTTCCTCACACTTGCACATCTCATCTTTTAGAACCTACACATAATGTAAACTTCCTACAAAGAGCCCTTTACGTGGAAGGACTTTAAACCCAACACTGTTCAAACATGGTTCTTTAGTGAAGCACAAGTGATTCTTCGATGGCATCAACCAAAAACTCTTTGTGTCACCTTTATTTATAATAGTGTGTACTTGTATAGTACTTGTATTTTCTTGTAAAACAAGAATGTAATGGAATCCCTCAAACAATAACCTAATATTTTGAAAGTATCTATAATCTGATTACTGCCTTCTTTCCTGTGTACTCCTCTTCTGTAATGGATTTTAGTGCACTGTTTGCTTTGCATTTTAAACATGAAGAACTGTAAATCCACCAGTGCCAGCCAGAGGATCAGGCACTGACTTGTGTCTTGATGTCTTGTAGATATAAAAGAAAGAAGCTGAATGAAGCCAAAAGTAACATAGTGAATGAATAAACACATCTTACTATCTAACAGCATGAAAATATCAACATAGAACACATCACCAAAAAGTGAATGTTTTCATTATCTTCATCAATATTTTGAAAATAATCAAATTAATCAGCCTTCTGAATATCATTCATTATATATAAGCAATCCCTCAATCCAGACACAATATGACATGCAGCATTTCTGTCATAAGAGAACTTCATAGGAAAACTGTGCAAGTTATTTTTTGGTTTACTCAAAAATGGCAGCTGCCTTTTACATTTTACATTTTTTTTGAACATTTAATGAAGAATGGAACAACAAATAACTTGAAAAGTAAACTGTTGGAGGTTTTTGTAACACTGTTAGGGGATTTCCATCTATTTCTCAAAATTCTGGCTTAAATTCATCATTGAGATGTAAACAAAGTCATTCAGAGTGGTTTGATGTGAAATGGTTCATTGTAGAGAAACTTACAGACTTGTCTTTACAGTGGTGGTGATAGGAACCAGGGGTCACCATGTCTACAACACAAATATAGTCACTTCATTTACTATCCAAAACCACCAGTGAAGCTACATGTGTCTTCTAAGTGTGTATGTAATGTTTAGAGTAGCAAAACAGTAGTAAATCTGGAAAATCAAGTTTTCTTTGGGTACTATTTCTTGTTCTCTTAAAATTAATTAAATCATGTTTCAGGCATCGGACAATGTATTTGTAACCTTTTTCATGTAACACCTTTCTGAGGCACTAATTCTTCAGATGTCTGGTTCCTATCATCACCACTGTGAAAAATTTGGTAGGTATCTCTAGAATGGAGCATTATATCAAACCATTCTCAATAACTAAATGATTAAATCATACAGAATTTTTATCTCTTACACAGAAAATTATGTGCAATTCTCCTCAAGCAGATGTTAAGAATGTTCTCCTGTGAAGTTATCGATTCAGAGATGCAAGGTTTTCTCACAACAGTGACAATAAGCATACAGCTCACAGCACTATTCAGTAGCCGACAGTGTATAGCATGATGGAAATGTTCATCTGATGGATCAGGCTATTGAATTCACTGAAATGAGTGTCTTATATGGATACAGTATGAGTTTCCAGGCTTGTGACCTGTACTATGTATATGATATGTGTATTTCAGCGATGATCAAGTGTTATGCACTTGATGTGGGATGTATGTGGGATGTATGTCATTATTAGACTCAACATATGACCTATTGAGAATGTGTCCACATGCTTCGAAACTATTGTAGCGCATTGACAATAAAAGCAGAAGGAGCTTCTTTAATACAGTAATAGGAAACAGTGTACCACACAGAAAGTCTCACATGTTGGTCCATTTCACAGTGACCAATGTCGGCATCAATAACTATTCTGGAGGCAGATTTGAATTAGTTTTAATGAGACTTTAATGGGTAAAGAGAACAAAGCCAAAGAGTCTGAATTCTAGTAAGACACTTTTTTGGTCACTGCATAATTACACACATGCTATTTCCAGAGGTGAACCATGTCTATTATAGCTAGGGCTTCAGTTTAGACCATAAATGTAAAAATAAAAGAGAGAAAAAAACACCTCTATGATAATGCTGATTTCATCTAGCACCCCTATGGGATTCTAGTACTATGTTAGAGCCATGCTATTGGATAGGTCAACATTTCTTTGGCTGTTCTAGACTAAATACAGTCAATTAAAACTTGTAAAACACGTTTTATTTGAGGTTTGCAAGATATGCTAAATATATATTTTACCTAAAGTAGTTATTTTACAGTGCTTACTTCAGTAAGTAACCCTAATATAGAGCCACCACTGTTTTGCATTTCTAATAACTGTCTGAAACCTGGTTAGACTACAGCTCATATCCACAGTCAGTGACATATCTAGAATTTTCAGAAGGCCTCAGAATTGGCCCCACCTATTGTTAATCTAAATGTTATTGGCTGATCTTGATGTCTTTTTGTCAGATAGTGGTCTAATCTGCAGTAGGCTTTTAAGTCAGTTCCGTGTAGTCCCAACCAGTGTTATAGCTCACTTGACTGTATCCACCTATCTTATTGGACAATTTTCTTTAGAGGCCAAGATTTTACCATTGTTTCAAATGAAAACTTATCAGTATGAATATTACTAAAATAATTCAGTTTAAATACATCAAACATGATGATTTATATTAAATAAATATGAACTAAAAATTACATCCATGTTATTAGTCCTTCTCTAAAAGCCTAAATGTCCATGAGGGTTCCCAATTGTTTATTGTATAGTTTGAATTTTGTCACTGTTATATGTTAAATAGTATAAATTAATATGTGTAGACCTATCCAGACTTTTGACTCATACTGTTTTGCTGTTCAGTTCCCCCTGCAGAGCCATACATTGAGCTGGACTCTGAGGAGCCCTGGGTGGAGGGAGAAGAGTACACAGTGACCTGCATCGCCCCAGACGCAAAACCAGCTGCTGATGTCATTTTCTATAAAGGTATGAAGTCCCTTCAGCAACATCTCCAAATCACATCAGCAGGTACTTTGAAGGAAAGGCTCATTTTGTTTAATAATGATTGGAAAGTGGTATCTGACAGATTAAAGAAACACACCAATCCTCAGTCAGTTCAGGTTGTTTATATTGTGGACCGGGTCAAGTGGCCCCTAAATGGAAGATTAAGCTCAGCTGCTGTTTTCCTTAATGCAGTCTAGGAGCAATTTGCTAGTTATTATGGGTTACCAGCTATTGCTCTTCCTGCCATTTCAATTAGATTTGTACTTGAACATGCTTAATAAAGCTCCTTGGTTATGGACTCCTTACCGGACTTCTGTGGGCATCACTCTGGCTGGAATTCACTTTGACTATATAATGTATGAATTAGTGGTAACACGATAAATTATATAAATCACATGTGTTTTTCTGGTATGACCATTCAAACCATCTAATTAAGGCAGGCTGAAGTCCAGCAGTAACAGCTGTATGTTTTTATGATAGTATCAGTGATCGTAGCCCTCTCGTTCAAATACAGCTTTTAAATGGATTTTAACATTGGAGAGCACTCATAGGAGACCTATCCATAATTCAACAAGCAGCAAACTAACAAAAGCAAAGCAAAGTGGAGCTCCAGTTCCTCTTGAGAGTATCCACTATCCCAGCTAGCAAGAAATGTTCGCATAACTTTGGCTAACAGTACCTACAAGTTCTAACATTAAATGTTTTAAGAATGTTTAGTATTTTAATCAATGTTTCTATAAGGTTACATGTTAACTAAGCAATAATGTTTTAACTGCAACATTCAGAAGACGTTTTAAGGATGTTGTCCGAGCAACAGATTATGTTACATTGTAATGTAACACTCTTACATCCTGGGAACAAAAAAAAACTTCCCACTGAAAACATTAATAGAACATGTGTGTAACATTCTCAGAACATTTTAAGAACAAACAAGGATAGCAAGCTGTATGAATGAGCTTGAGAGGGATAGCCTACAATAACAGAGGACTTAAACAAATGGCTGTGTATGTGACATATATCATGCATGCACTCGTTGGTTGGAACATGCAGCCACTGTTGCTCTCACTGGACGTTGGTGATGAAAATTGGAAACCGTTCACTCTGTGGAATTTGCATGATGTTCATGTTCAGGTTCAACTGTGTTCACACAAAGACAATAATGCTGGAAATTGAATTGTTGAAAGCAGTAAATACATTCTGAAGCTTATTTTCTTCACTCATATAACTTTATCAAAATACACTGAAAAATATCAATAGGGTTCGAGCAAATAAGACAAATGTGATTCATTAGTCACTTGCAGATAATAAATGCAAATTACTTTGTTACTCATTTTACTTGTTTAATAGCTCTAGTATGAATGCATTATAATGAATTCATCTGTTATAATAACTAAATATAAGTATAATGAATAACTCTATAATGTAAATCATTTGCCATTGGCAGAGAAGACATGTAGAAACCCAATCTCCATCTGTAAAGTTGGTGTTAAAAGAAAAGTAAAAGAAAGAAAGAAAAAAAAAAAGCAGTGTGAGCTTCACCCTCTCTCTAAAACTTCCTCTCTTTCTTTTTTTCTCAGATGGAGAGGAACTGACAGATATAGAGTCTTTCACCATGTCAGGCTCTGAGGATAAACTTCTCAACACTCACGCTGAAGTTAAGTATGTGTTTGCATATCTTGCCTGCCCTTTACCACTGCACTTACATGTCCTTGAGCGGTGTCAAGAGTCTTAAATGCTATGAGACTCTTTTTTATGAATTTCATAACAATTGGAAGGTCTAAGGTGACAGAAAATGCTTGACTGTGGGCAGATTATGAGTTTTACATTGTGAGGCAGTTTTATGTTTTAAAAGCATTTATTTGCTATTGCCATCATAAAAGCCAGCTCACCCAGCATTCCCCAGGTGCCATGAAGCTTGTTCAAGGGTTATTATTACACACAATCCACATAGACGTTTTCTATGTCATTATTTCATTCTAATTTATATGTACATTTTGCATGCTGGGTAGTAGGGCTTAGAATTGATCCTACAAAAAAAAAGTCAGTTCTCCAGTTCCAGGCATGTGAGAATTGAGAGTTGGCTCCAAACCTTGTGCTGTTTCCACACAGAGACATCCAAGTTCGCTTGTACATACACTATATGGACAAAATTAAGCAAATAGCCTTGTAGTCTCGATTGACAAACACCAGCAGTAGAATGAGTCGTATTGATGAGCTCAGTGATTTTAAACATGGCACTGTCATAGGATGCCACCTCTGCCACAAGTCAGTTTGTGAAGTTTCTGTCCTGCTACATCTGCCTCTGACAAGTTCTATAATTGTGAAATGGAAGCATCAAGAAGCAACAACAGCCCAGCCATGAAGCGGGTGACCACGCAAACTCACAGAGTGGTGCCGCCGAGTGCTAAAGCACACAGTGCCTATCCTCGGTTGAATCACTGACTAAAGAGCTCCAAACTGCCTCTGCAACATCAATGAAAGATGTGTGAGGAGCTTCACAAAATGGTTTCCATGGACGAGTAGCTACACATAAACCTAGGATTAAAATGCAGTGGTGAAAAGCACACTGCCACTGGACTCTGGAGCAGTGGAAACGTATTCTGTAGAGTTATGAATCACGGTTCTCATTCTGGCAGTCTGATGGACAAGTCTGGGTTTGGTGAATCACTGAACACCTTTGGGATGAACTAGAATGGAGAGTGTGAGCCAGGCCCTCATCAGTGTCTGACCTCACAAATGCTTTTCTGGGTCAATTGGCAAAAATTCCCACAGACACTCTCCAAAATTTCGTAGAAAGCTTCCCAGAAGAGCAGAAGCTGTTATAGCTGCAAAGGGGGACCAACCCCATATTAATGGTTATTGATTTAGAATAGGATGTTATAAACGCTCCTGTAGGTGTAATGTGTAGGTGTCCCAATACTTTTGTCCATATAGTGTAGAGTGTGAGGTACTTTGCTTTCCCTGTGCAGGCAACCTGTCCAAAAAATGCATCTGTTCACAATATACACATCAATAGGTTGTTTTCTTTTTTTACTTTTGTTAAGTGGAAAGCATAGTAAAGTAGTTTTTGTAGCAAGAAAAATGCATCAATATGTTTGTATATCTATGGTAAAAATAAAAGACATATTGTGCAGCTGCCATGTATCCACAAGGGGCAGAATGGTATGCCACTAGAATCATGTATCACATTACAGTTTGGTAATATTTTCCACTTTCAAACAGTGAAAAGTTATACGTAAAAACAAAAGAGTCACCGACACATTCTGTGATAACTGTAAATTATCTGTGATTCTGTGATAGAATCTCTGATTCTGTTTAATTACTGTTTTATATATATATATATATATTTTTTTTTTCTGGAATTAAAAAACAAGAAATAATTGTGAAATCGACTCTTGGAATTGACTCCCATTGGAATCTGAATCACCTTCATAATTTCTGGAACAGACCAAGTGGGTAGTTTAGCCGTTGCAAATAAACTTAACTTTAATGACATTTAGGTTCATGTTAGCCAGCCAGTGAGCTAATGTTAGCCAACAGCAGCTAATTAGCTGTAATGATGAGTACATTTCTAATGAAAACAATTGTGATTTGAATGATAACTTTGGCCTTATGTGCCACTGTGAACAACCAGCAGTCTCCAAGCTCATTTTAATACATACCAATTAGTATTATTAGATTCACATTATTATTCACACTAGTGGAAGGCACTAGAAATAGGCTTCAATTCATGACTAATGATTCTCAGTGATCTGCCTTAAAGAGTAATGTTACTTATCAGTTTGTCCACATGAGTGATGATACCCTCATGATTAAAGATCCGGCAATTTTAAATTCCTTAATCTTTCTAGTCTTGTATTTCTCCCCATGCCCTGTGAGCTTTGAATTGTATTGTATCACCTTTTGTATTACCAAATAGATCAACAAAGCAGTGGTTTCAGTGAGCAGGCAGTAGTTTGCATCATGCTGTAAAAGTATTCAGCAGTTTGTTTTGTACCAAATAAAGCAGCTTACTTTGTGTCTTCCTGAAGAATGCTGTAGATTCCCTCTGGCCAGGCTCCAAGCTCTTCAATGGAGCGGTGGTCTAAGCATGCTGCGTCGGAGTTTAATGGTGCTGGGGGTGAAATAAGGGAGTGAGAAAGAGTGTGAAATGTGTTAACGGACAGCATCCCACTCTCTCACTGCAGGGTCAGGGCACAGCGTTTGGACAACGGCCGGCTCCTGCTGTGTCGAGTGAAGAATCCAGCTAGTCCCCGGGCTCTGGAAACCAAAATGGTCATGAACATATACTGTAAGAAACTTTTTTTTTTTTTTTCCTTAATTAAGGCAGGTTTACTCTTCGATTTTTGTGACGATGATGATGTCACTAAACTTGCAAATCATGAAAGAATTCTGGTCTTTGAACATCTAATGACCCTTTTTATCAAAGTTGTATAAAATCGACTGCAGATTTGACCCTCAATGATGTACAAACTACTCAGCGTCTGATTTGTATGACCTTAAAACAACAAATAATTTCGAACACAGTTAATGAAACGTCTGTGCAAGCGTCTGAGCACTACACTGCAAAAAGTTATAGCTTAGCAAATGTAAACATCTTAGTCAATATATCTACTATTTCTCATTATAGTAGTATAGAATGTTATGTGATTATTTAACTTATTTCTAGACATTTTTACTAGTTTTTAAGCAGGTTTATCTTAAAGTGTTTCGCTCCATTGGCAGATCATGTTACTTGTTTTAAGCATTATTCCTTAAAATTAGCTAAATCATCTTCATTATTTCTCAAAACAAGTAAACTAATCTGCCTATGGAATAAGACACTTTCACTAGATAAAATCACTTAAAACAAGTAAAATCTACAGAAACAGGTGGGATAACCTAATAATATTTAGTCTCATTATGAGAAATATTACATTTATTAACTACACTTAAGAAATTTTCACTTGCAAACATATAATTTTTTGTAGTCTTGTGCCTTATTTACATTATATTTGCAAAGAATATGCTCTCATATAAGGGCGGCACGGTGGCGCAGTGGGTAGCGCTGTCGCCTCACAGCAAGAATGGCCTGGGTTCGATTCCCGGCTGGGTGACCAGGGTCATTTCTGTGTGGAGTTTGCCTGTTCTCCCCGTGTCTGCGTGGGTTTCCTCCGGGTACTCCGGTTTCCTCCCACAGTCCAAAGACATGCAGTTTGGCTGATTGGACATGCTGAATTGCCCCTAGGTGTGAGTGAATGTGTATGTCTGTCTGTCTGCCCTGCGATGGACTGGCGACCTGTCCAGGGTGTATCCTGCCTTTCCGCCCAATGACAGCTGGGATAGGCTCCAGCACCCCACCGCGACCCAGAAGGATAAGCGGTTTAGATGATGGATGGATGGATGGATGCTCTCATATACGTACAGTTTACATTAAGTATGCCCTAATAAATGCTGACGTTTTGATAGTGGGCCAATAAAAGGAGAACATCCAGCAGGATCATGAGTGATGGTCCTGTAGGTGGAGGAAAGACACTGCTCCTCCTACTGGCCAGACTTTAAATTAATTGATAGAGTCAAAATTATGCAATAAAATGTAAAACTGACAAAGTATCTTAGCTTTTTGCAGTATAAGAGGCTTCTACATTACTATGTTCCATACGCTATGGGCAGAAGTTTTACTGTATCAGTAGTATAAAGCAAAAGTCTTCAGATAGGATGCTAATGGTTGCAGCATTTGTTTATATGTGTGTTATATGTTATTTATAAGTGCGTTCACACACACAACGTACATTCCCTTTAGTACAAGGATCGCCACGTGCACACTTAATAGCACTGTGGCGACCTTGAGCTCTGCATGGTCTCCAGCTTATTTACATTCTCCCGTGAGCCCCCTTGGCTGCCTGCAACTGGTGTTGTTTCATGTTTATGGTCAGCGGGCGACCTGCGGCCATATATAACCCCCTGCTGGTTTCCTTTAGCCTTCATGTCCTCCAGCTAGCCACCAAGCATGAAAGCTACTTGTTGTAAGTGTCCACAAGCTGCTAAATAACATGTTTCTGTTCTAAGATGCTTCCCAGTCCAGCCACCTTTTTTAATGTCATTATCATCATTATTTACTATTTTTATTATTGTTATTAGTGATGTTATTACAGACAATTGTTGTTTATTTAAGAGCAAAATAAGCATTTTTTAACTCCTAGCCAACATGAGTTTGATTTTTTAAGAAATGACAAAGCTGAAACTGATGAATAATGAAACTGTCAGTGAGATTTGCCCTCATTTTAACAGTCAGATTCATTATATATGCAGACACCTTCAGCAGAGTTTTGGCAGTGTAATAAGTTTTAGCCCAAAATCTCAATCTGTGACTGCTGCTATGATGCACATCTAAAAACTAAAAAATAGAGACTGACAACAGATGATCCTGTAATGTCCCTGTCTGGCCCTTGTTTTTCTCTGTTTTCCCTTCTTGTTTACCTTCCCTCATGTCTCAGGCCATGTGCTCTTGTTTTGCTTTGGTCTTCCTGTATTTTCTCTGCTCTGTTGTCATGCCCCTCACCTATGCCTTGTCTATAGTCCTGCCCTCTGATTTTTCCTTTGGCGTTTCACATTCATTTTCCCCTGTGTATATACCATTTGTCTTTGCCTTGCTCCTTGCTTGCTATTTTTTGTTCCTTTGTGGCCCTGTTGCCCAGGTTATTGTTGTAATGAGACAGAACTGGCCAGACGCTCGCGGGTAAAATCAGGAGGCTTTACTGTTTCGGATGTAATCAATACTCGTGGTCAAGAAGCAGGCAAAGGTCAAATCCAGAATGATCCAAAAACAAAAGGGGACAAACATAGCAATGACAAGAAAGGCAAGCCAGATCCAAAAAGGGCTGGGCAAAAAGGCAAAGCCGAAGATGTAAAACAGAGTCTGATACACAGGTAAACAATAATCGCAGGAAGACCAGCTCAGCAGCTCTAAGAAAGAAGCCATACCTCGCAACAAGCTAAACTGAAGCCCCAGGCTTTTGTACTAACTATACCAAACAATGATTACAAGGAACAGGTGATGTATATCAGTACTTAGGTGATGATTAATGGTGATTGGCTGATGGTGAAGGTGTGATAGTCATATCTTCCAGGGAATTCTAGGAGATCGAGTCCCTGGAAGAAACAAAGTCATGTGAAACTCCCAAAGAGTTCTGGGATATTGAGACCTTGAAAGCAGGCTTAGTGGGAAGCGTGACAGTTCTTTTAAGTGTTTGTTGGTCTTGCGGGGCCGTATGTGATCTCGTAATGAGCATGCATTTGTGGACAATGAGAATACACCTGGGGACAATTCTTCAAAATGAATGTTTCAAAAAATGCCCTTCCATTATTTTTTTTCAGAGGTGTGCTCGATGCACAAAATCAATTCTATGAAACCACTTAAAGATGTCAAATAGAAAAGAGATGTCTTGGCTTGTTTGCCAACAAGATGTGGTAAAAGTTTTGTTTACAAAGACTGACCAGCTGTTTACAATTCAATATTTAATACACAAAAATCAGTGGTCTTAGTTATATATCCATTACTGTCCATCATGGAAGAGTAAGCATGATTTTTAAATGCAAAGGAGATTCCAGCTGCACGCACAGAGCACAGAAATGGACAAAAAATAGCTTCAGGCAATTTCCGACAGATTTATTCCATCAGTGGTTTGTTGGAATAGCTGAGGAAGTTCATACTGTTGCTCAGTTGTGAATACATTTATTTTTTAACTGTATTGTTGTTCGCTGCTGTCCTTTTTGCATGCTTTTTACACTTTTAGAAAAAAAGGTAGTAAACTGTCGCTGGGGCAGTGCCCCTCTTGTCACTGCGGTGGTAGCCTCAAGGGTACATCTCAGTACCTTTAGTCAGGGAACATAACTGTACCATAATCCATTGAAATGATATATTTTTGTAAGTTGTATTGACTCCACACACCCTGTCTCGTCTCCAGGCCTTTTTTTTATTGTTCTGTTTTAAAACATTCGGTTATGAAAAGGTACAAATCTTTACTTTTCACCTGGGAAAACTTATTTAAGATTCATAATTGGTCCTTAAAATCACTGTTGTGCCTTTGAGGGAACATTTACATTGTTTGTACATTGATGAACGAAAAATGTACCTATACAGAACCTTTATTTCTAACAGTGTGGTGGGAATGATGGCGATCATTTAGCTCGAATACAAGAGCTCATCTGTTTATTAACATAGCTGCCAATACTTTCTACATCACTTTTACTGTGAACAACGGATGCCACATACAGCTGGCCTATCATCATCTCTTATTACTTGCCTATTTACACCGATTGGACATAACATTATGACCACCTTCTTGTTTCTACGCTCATTGTCCATTTTATCAGCTCCACTTACTATATAGGTGCACTTTGTAGTTCTACAGTTACAGACTGTAGTCCATCTGTTTCTCTGCTTACTCTGTTAGCCCCCTTTTACCCTGTTCTTCAGTGGTCAGGACCCCCATGGAGCCTCACAGAGCAGGTACTATTTGGGTGGTGGATCATTCTCAGCACTGCAGTAACACTGATGTGGTGGTGGTGGTGTGTTAGTGTGTGTTGCGCTGGTACGAGTGGATCAGACACAGCAGTGCTGCTGGAGTTTTTAAACACCTCAGTGTCACTGCTGGACTGAGAATAGTCCACCAACCAAAATTATCCAGCCAACAGCCTCCTGTGGGTGATGAGCTGTTGTCTCTGACTTTACATCTGCAAGGTGGACTGACAAGGTAGGAGTGTCTAATAGAGTGGACAGTGAGTGGACAGTGTTATCTAGGTTAACAAAACTGTTTTTCCCTTGCAAGAGGTCATGGTTTTTTTTTTGTTTTTTTTTGTTTTTTTACTGCATGCAGTAGGTTTTCCATACATGACATATACATGTTTAATTGGAGTTTTTGAGGAGAATTTTTAACCACTAACTTACATCCATGGGTTATCAACAGGCTTGTTGTCCATCAGTCAATGTTGACTAGTACACTGTCATTGACATACTTTGAGACATTCACTGTAAAAAAAAAAAAATCCGCAGCTTTTAAACATAAAAAAAAGAGTAAATAATCTGGTCAACTTGAAATTTTGAGTTCATTAAACTTGTAATATTAACTTAACAGAAGAATAATTTGTGATTTGCATTTGTTAATATATTAACTGAGCTCAACATTTCAAGTTACTCACGTTTTAAGTTTAAAAGCTGCATAAGTTTTAGCATTGGCTTGATTTAAAAATTTCACTCTCAGTTTGTTCCCACCCTGATAAATCCCCATTTCCACCCCACACCAGCTTAAA